ACAAGAACATTCTCAGATAAACAAAACCTGAAAGAATTTACCAACACCAGACCAGATCTCCAAGAAGTTCTCAAGGGAGTGCTATACCAGGAAAATTAAATACAGACACACAGAAAAAAAGAGTTTAAAAATGAAGAAAATAGGCCACGTAATTGTGCGGACAAGTCTAGAGCTGAATATTATACCCCAGAATTTAATTGGGAAAATCGAACCACAACGGAAGATAGATTAAGTCCATGAGACTGGACTGGTGAAATAGCATTTTATGACTTTTGACTAAAACATTGCCAATTTTCTTCTAGGCTTTGTTCTCCAGTCTTAAGGACTTTTGTCTTCTCTTGAGCTGTTGATAGGTTCATGTACCTACTATTTGAACAGAATCTTAACCTGTTTCCTGGCTTTAAGTTTTAAGCAAAGTTCTTTAGCATTTCTTTGATTTATTCAAGTTAAAACTGCTTTTCTTGGAAAAAAAATTAAAAAAAACAATTATTTTTAAAAATTGTATTTACTCACTCATTTATTACTATTTTTTTAAATTTTTATTTATTCATTCATTTATTTTAATTTGACTAGAGACAGACAGAGAAAGAGGGAGAGAAAGTGGGAAAGCAAGCCACCAGGTCCAGGACTTGAACCATGATCGGCCATATGGGAGTGTCCAGCACCTTAACCACCACACCGCCTGCTGGTCCCACTATTATTATTTTTAATTTTGATCACACACACACACACACAGAGGGAGAGGGAAAGTGAGAAAGCAAGCCACCAGGTTCAGGACTCAAACCATGGCTGGCCATGTGGGAGTGCCCATCGCCTTAACCACCATACCACTTGCTGGTCCCTGACTCCTGGTGGGTTTCTAAGGAGAAGAACAGAGACCAGAGCAGAGAGCCACGGGTCCAGACGCACGGTGCTCCTGCCCTCCACCATGTATGGTGCGGCCAGAAAACCCTCCCCAGCTGTGGACAGACCTGGGACCTTCGGTGAGCTCAGTAAATTTCAAGTGTAAACATTTTTTTAAGTAATTCATATTTAAATTTGCTATAGGGCACGTGCACTAGGCAGAGACAGAGAGACTCAGAGGAAACGTGAAAAAGTACCTCCGGGGGGACGATCACGCCACATTCCCTTCTCCTCCATTCTCCTCTTGGAATTCTGCATGCACACTTGTGCCCAGCATGAGTTTTTATTTTATTTTATTTATTTATTTATTTTTTGGAGAGGTTTTTGCTATAGGGCACGTGCGCTCGCTAGACAGACAGAGAGACAGAGAGACAGAAAGCGAGAAATCACCTCCCAGGGGGGATGGCCACGCCACAATCCCTTCTCCTCCATTCTCCTCTCAGGATCTTGGGCACGCACGCACACACGCCCAGCGTGAGTTTAAGCCACCGGGTCCGGGACTCGAACCGCAGTCGACTACGTGGGAGTCCAGCAACATAGCCATTACGCTAACTGCTGGTCCCGCCCACAGTTTTTTAATATATATTTCCCCTGAACTTTTTATTTTTGTTTTTGCTATAGGGTGTGTGCAGAGAAAAACAGAGGGAAAGTGAGAAATCAGCCCCCAAAAGGGATGGCCATGCTGCAATCCTTTCGCCTCCACTCTCCTCTTGGGATTTTGGGCCCCCACGCACATGTGCCCAACGTGAGTTTAAGCCACCGGATCTGGGACTCGAACCAGGTCCAGAACTTGAACTGCTCTGTCAGCCATGTGGGATCCAGCTGCCTTCACCAGTTCGCCACCTGCTGGTCCTTCCACGAACTTTCTGAAGACCCTGTATGTGTCAGTGCCCACTTCATGGCAGCCACAGCTCTGCAGGAGGCCTGGGCAGGTACGTGGTTTGTTCTGCCCCAGCTCCACCTCAGCCTCCCTCTGGGCAGTGTCCTGGCTGCAGAGGTGCGCGCCAGCGCCCCCTGCAGGCTGTCCCAGGAGAGACCAGGCAGGCAGCACTCTCAGAGGGGTCCGCTGCACCTTCACGAAGCTGCTGGTTCTTAGTCCCGTAAGACTCCAGTTGTTTCTGGAAGCTGATTCTTGGCGCGGCAGCGGCTGGGGCTTCCTTTCGGCCCAGCAGCCACACGCAAGAAGCTCTCATCTGCAGGGGACAATGACACTGGCTGGTGGGCCTTGCTGCCAACCTCAAAGTTGCTGGTGAGTCAGGGGGTGACCCTTAGCATGCAGGAATCCCACCCCACAAAGGCTGACAAGAAAGAGGACCTGTGATTCGCCAACCCCAAGCCTACCGGTCTATCCCTCAGTACGGGTGTGCGTGCCCCAAATCCTGAGAGCGGAATGGAGGAGAAGGGACTGCAGCGTGGCTGTCCCCCTGGGGAGGGTGCTGTTCACTTTCCCTCTGTCTGTCTCTCTGGCAAGCATGTGCACCCTATAGTAATAACTAAAACAAGGAGAGTCACAGAAGGGGGCCCAGCAGCACCCCAAGACTTGGCCCTGCACTAGAGGACCCCACTGCATCCTTGGGCAGGGACTGCCTGACGGGTAAAGATCCAAACTGACCACGAGCAGCCAGAGAGAGGCCTTGGGGACCCTGGTCAGCCCCAGCTGCCATCTCCACCTTCAGAAGAGATGCTGGCTTGGAGAAGAATCTAGAAAACACGTCCTGGGATAAAGGGCGGGCTCAGAAACAGGGAGAACTTTACAGAGGAATAGAAGCAAAATGACAGAGGACAGAGGAGGGAGATGGGAAGATGGAGTGGGGAGGGGCCACAAGGGGCCAGTTGGTGGGAGCAGCGGGATCGCGACATCTATGACGCATGCTGTGTGAGACGGTCTCGGGGTCACATCCCGAGGCTTCCCTGGACGCGCTGGGCACCTGCAGCGGGGGGTCGTAGTTTGGAGACCCTGTTGGGACTCTCTCCTTCTCTTTCTCTTCCTCTCTGTCTCTCAAGAAATACATTTTAGAAAAGGACAAGATGTGGGCCAGCAGGTGGCGTGGTGGTTAAGGCACTGCATGGCCGACTACGGTTCAAGTCCTAGACCTGGAGGTTTGCTGTCTCACTTCCCTGCTTTCTCTCTCTCTGGTAAGCACACATGCCCTACAGCAAATTTTAAGATCATAACATAGGGCCAGCAGGTGGCGTGATGGTTAAGGGCACTGGACTCCCCCAAGGGCCGACCATGGTTCGAGTCCCAGATCTGGCGTCTTGCTTTTTCACTTTCCCTCTCTCTCTCTCTCTCTCACTCTT